CAAAGACGCCGAAAGGATGGGAACCTACACTTGCAGCTGAAAAAGGCCAACATCCCGGGAAAGCACAGCAGCAAACAAGCACGCATTAAGGTGCTCGAACTCGCCTCCAAGGTAAACGTGCAGTACAGTAACCGCCTTCCGCTACTTGAGCATGCGGATCCAGCAAAACCTTAGGCAAGATTCGAGAGGCAGAAAACCTTCGGAAACAGGGAGCCGAGGAACCCCAAGGGAACCCGGGTTCCCTTGAGTTCCTCAGACCCAAGGCTTCGAGGACCCCAAATCATACTCATACAGGGAAGGGGGGCATGAAAACCCCTCTCCCTGCGACAACATACATCGGAAAGAGGGCACCAAAACCCAAGCGGGATCAAAAGGGACCCTAGCCCCCATGTCGTCAACTCCCCAGCCCTGGGAGCCTCCGAACCAGGCCCCGGGGCAGAGCCATCCTCCACACCCTCTACCCCTGAAGAAAAGTCCAGGGGAATGGCAGAGAAGAAGGGAGTCCACTGGTAAGACCCAGAAGCCTCGGCAGGAGAAACCGGCTTGAATGCCTCCATCCCCAACCCGAATGGGGCAGCCCCTGAAGCCATCCGAGTCATCACCAACTAAACCCTGCCCTGACACCGAAACCCTCAGACGCTTCAGAGCTGGGAATGGGAACAATGCCACTTCCTACCCAAGGCTAAAGGCCATGAAAATCTCAACTGGCCCTAAGAGCAAGGTAATTGCCAAACAGCAAAGACCCTTGCAAAAGCAGTTCCTGAAAGCTCAATGCAAGATAACCCTAGAACCCAAGGGTAGTACTTACAGGGTGCTTAGGGAAGATAGCCCTAAGTGCATGCAGTCCCAGTACTCTTAAAATTTCTCCTGGCCACTGCACCACACACTGCAGAACACCACTAAGGTACACAACTGCCAAGAATCTCAGGCCAGAGTCGACAACTGCCCCAAATCGCATCAGCCAACGAACTGGAGTTGTTGAGTAACCGGTGCGGGGGGGTTTGGAGCTCCCCCTCCCAGGGAAGGGAAGGCTGCGTGGACAAGCGGCGACGGGGTGTGATGTTTGCTTGTTTTATGTTGGGGGAGTTCTGCCTCTCTGTTCAGTCTTTGGTTGCAATTTTCTTACCATGTGGGGTTTCCATAAGCCATTGCTCCCTTTGCCTCTGAGGGGGCCAGGGTCTGGCTCATGGTCCCCAGTAGGCTGAACTCCGACTGACTGATGCCCCAGACTAATATATCGCATATCAGTCAGATAGATCCAGGGAGCTAGAGGAACTACCCACAGAAAAGAAAATGTAACACAATTACCTTTACATAAGGCTGATCATCTTGAACTCCTCGTTACAATCTTCCCCCACTCTGTCTATGACTTGATGCGCCTATCCATATTTTTCTGTAGCTCCGATTTTTTCAGCAATGCTTTATTGAACTTTAAAAAGGCGAAGAAGTCACTGGAAGATGTATCCAAAAGTTGTACTATGCAGTCAGAAACCTTCATTGTATCAACACTCAACTTACATACTCACTATACATTTGCATTGTGGGATGCTAAAGCAAAGAAAAATGATCTTCTTAGCAGTTCTGAGTGGCATTCAATATTCTTTGATTTTTCAAAGTATCTGATCCATTTTTTTATGTGCTAGCAATTTACTAATTCTTCATCACTTATAATTGTCTAAAAACTGTTTCTAGTTACTAACTTGATTAAAACATTTCACATCATCATCCTCTACCCCCTTATCTATCACATATTTGATGCAAGGCTCCACATCATTACAATTTGATATTTCACTCAAGGTCATCCACTTCAAACAAGAAAACTCTCCATTGGTTTCATCCACTTACCCAAATACTCCAGCATTTGTTGTAGAGATTAACTACTTCAGGACAAAATTTGTTTCACTCTTCTTCATATCCTTCTGTGCATTTCAAGCAACCAGTCCTGTAACTTTTAAGAACATGAAATATATTCTTTCTACAAGCACTTTATGAACAGACTTCATATTTGTCACCACTTCTACAACACAACTGCTTTCCTTTTCAATTGTTTGAATATGTGTATGAAAAACCAGCGTTGAATGTAATGAAACGCCATTTTCTGGGTGAGTCCCGGAGGCTCTCCAGAGCTATCCCAGGCTGATATGCTAATGTCAGACTTTGGCATCAGTCATGTGTATGGAGTTCTTAGGCCTACCGGGGACCACGGCCAGAACCGGGCCCCCTCAGAGAGGCAAGGGGAGCAATGGCCTATAGAAGCCCCCGTGTAGTTGGAAGCATTCTATGTCTGCCATCGACCGGAACAGGCACCCAGAAAGGTAAGCGCCCCAAAACAAACCCCTATTCTGGTTAAAATTGCTACCAAAAACCGAACTAGTGGATAGAACTCCCCAACCGAAAACAAGCAAACTAGTGTGACGTCACACACCGCCGCGCCGCTGTCTGCGCAGCTCCCCCCTCCCCGGGAGGGGGAAGGGGGAGCCCCAGACCCCCCGTGCCGGCTACCCACACCTCAGTTCTTGAGGCTGGATGTCAAAAACGCGAAAAACCGCCGACCGGAGGGAGGGAGGGATGCCGGGGAGCCTCCGGGACTCACCCAGAAAATGGCGTTTCATTACATTCAACGCTGGTTTTCTGGGGGGAGCCCCATCGGCTCCCCGGAGCTAACTACCCACAGACAGAAAAAAGAGGGACTTACCCGGGAGGCGGTCGTCGCTCACTCCTCAACTCGAAGCCGAGACAACTGGCTGCAACCGCCGACCCAAAGCAACACAGGCTTGACGAGGCCCAGGGACATTCACAAGGTAACGAGCAGCCAGGACCCTGTTCGACCGCCAAAATCCCCGCGCCCGAATATCAGACCAAGACATATTCCCAAAGACGGCAGCAAGAGCCGCGAACTTACGAACGTCATGGGCACGGGGATAGACCGCAGGCTGGCTGGACCTAATAACCCTGCGGACGACCTGAGAGACCCGAACCCGCGAACAGGGAAGAAGGGAAACCGGATCAACCCACAGCGCGTCCCCGGACACAGAAGCTGTGGCGCGCAAATAACGGCGAAGCGCCACAACCTTCTAAAGCTGAACCCCAGGGACGTGTACACTCACGGGGACCTAGCAGGGGGCGCCACCGAGGAGAACAGTGCAAGGGCAAAAACAAACTGAATAAAATGACAGAACCCCCCACCAGGCAAAAACAAAAAGAAAAACAAAACCCCGCAAGAGGACAGCGAACCCCAAGGAACAGAGCCGGCCGCGATGTCGGGAAATACAAGCTGAGCAGCACCCTGCGCCCCTACCAGTGCAAACTGCCTCTTACCTGCCGGTAACAAGGGAGAACAGAACACCCAAGAGCCCAACAGGCGGCCGAAAAACCGAAAGGTAAAACGGACCAGCAGAGGCAGACCCCGAGGAGCCTGTGGAAGGTGGCCCCAAGCCCCAAGGGCAGTACTTACAGGGCACCTAGGGAAGGCAGCCCTAGGTGCATGCAGCCCGAGTACTGAAGATAACTCCTGGCTTTCGCACCCACAAAACCAACACCACACGCAAAGCACAGTGCAGTAGCGACACCGGAGCCAGAGCACACGACCATCGCCTATAGCATCAGCCTCAAGAACTGAGGTGTGGGTAGCCGGCGCGGGGGTCTGGGGCTCCCCCTTCCCCCTCCCGGGGAGGGGGGAGCTGCGCAGACAGCGGCGCGGCGGTGTGTGACGTCACACTAGTTTGCTTGTTTTCGGTTGGGGAGTTCTATCCACTAGTTCGGTTTTTGGTAGCAATTTTAACCAGAATAGGGGTTTGTTTTGGGGCGCTTACCTTTCTGGGAGCCTGTTCCTGTCAATGGCAGACATAGAATGCTTCCAACAACACGGGGGCTTCTATAGGCCATTGCTCCCCTTGCCTCTCTGAGGGGGCCCGGTTCTGGCCGTGGTCCCCGGTAGGCCTAAGAACTCCATACACATGACTGATGCCAAAGTCTGACATTAGCATATCAGCCTGGGATAGCTCCGGGGAGCCGACGGGGCTCCCCCCAGAAAAGACATTAATGAGTGCATGTGCCAGAGGTATATCTCGCTCATTTCATTCCCCCAAAATTGTTAAATTACTGTGGGTAGGTGGTCTTGGGACAGAAAGAAGGATTTAGGCACAGGAAACATCTGTATCAGCCTTGTAATGCCAGGAAATAGTGACAGCCAGCAAGTCTTACTATGAGAGAGGAGCCTTCTGTCCTTAATCTCCACAAAGTCACAGTACTCCTTCACCTGCTCAGTTCCAGCTGTATAGATATGAAAGTATGTACTGATAAATTTTATTGATTTTCAATATCAATATTCATTCTTTCTGCTCCGTGATGGACACAGTTGTTGCAGATATGTTCTGGGTAACCCATTGCAATTAATGATCTCCCTTCCATCATTTTCTTCAAATTTGAAAACACAATATTCCCTTCCTCATTATGCTCGAGTCTAAATATTGTATTGAAGTTGTCCCCTGAGAATGACACACACACTTTTCAAAGTCCATTTTTCTTTATGGTTTCTTTTACATAATTAGCAGTTGTGTCTGCAGTCTCATTAGGCTTGTTCTTAAACTCAATTAGTTGCGACTGTAAACCACAATTCTCTCTATCAAAATACTGAATAATTAAAGGAAATAGCTTTAATGTATCATGATTGCTTCTATATGTAACAATTCTACAGTATGTAATCTCATTTTCTTCAAGACCTTTCAAGGCATCAACAACAGAATGTGGTACAAGCACAGATGTAACAATTGCTTCTGTCTTTATTTGCGTACTAGAAAACTTCTTTGCCACCTCAGAATCGGAGAAAGTCCTTTTTTTTTTTTTTAGCAAAACAGATGAACAATCCATGGACAGAAAACTATTGTGATTTTTAACAGTGTGAAATGCACAAGTAACTTCTACAGCAGTGACATCAGCTAAGTGTTGCAAAGGGTTTTAGTATGGGGATGAACAGTCTGCGAAATAAGGGAACGCAAAGCTCATGTACAATAATTTTATTGTAGTGTTCGGTTAGTTAAATTATAATATTGAAGTCTTTCAGCAAGCAAGCTGACAAACTCCAAAAGGCAAGTTGAAATTGTTACTGTATTGCCAATAAAGTATTCGAGTACTGCATATAATGTGTATGACGATCCTCCCCTAACCATGTAAATTTATGTTTAGTGCATGTGAAAATACAAATTATGTTACAAATTATGGTACAATAAATTATGATTTAAATTTTTTTATACTTTCCCAATAAAAATTCCTGCTAATCCAGGTGTCCGGCTAACTTTTAGGAGATGTGGGGCTACACATGATCCAGATTAGCAAGCATAGACAGTATCTTTGTCTTTTACTCCAATCATTTGACTAAATATGAATGGTATGGTAGAGTACTACATTTGCTTGTTATTGGCATGTGATGTCCCTCTGCGTTATTAAGTTATTTATTTGCCAACTTAATATTTACAGTTGGGCTCTGGGTTAAGCTTGCCTGGTGCAATGTCAAGGCAATACACTGTCGACACTATGCTGTTTTTGTGTGTATGTAGTTAATTGGCAAGTTAACTATTTGTCCACTTGATAACTGCATTGATACATTAACTGTTCAGATATTAACTTATTAAATGGTCTAGTTGCTGCTGATGAAGAGTTGAGCCATTATGTCCACTTAATGTTGATTGTTAGGTTGACATACTTTACTGCTGTCAAGCCAATTTAGTTGTCTTGACAGCAGATGCTAGAGTTCACATGTTTTTTGTTTGTATTTGTGAGGCATTTAATTGTCCATTTGATACTAGTATGTTTGTTTGCCATGTTCCTGCATCATTAACTTTCCCACTTGATGATGCTTGCATTGTCACAGTTTTCAGGTGAAGCACTAAATCTCTCTCTTTTTAATAATGGCTGAGTTAATATAATACTTTTTTGTGGTAACGGAAGCCTTTCTTCTTTAATTGTAAATGGTGGCATCTTCACATTTTCAAGCTGCAATGTTAATTTACTTACTTGTCCACTTGATGGTTGGGTTGGTAGATTTGTCTGCTGTGATATCAAGTTAGTTACTTGTCCACTTGATGGTTGGGTTGGTAGATTTGTCTGCTGTGATATCAAGTTAGTTGCTTGTCCACTTGATGGTCGGGTTGGCAGATTTGTCTGCTGTGATATCAAGTTAGTTACTTGTCCACTTGATGGTTGGGTTGGCAGGTGTTTCTGCTGTGATATCAAGTTAGTTACTTGTCCACTTGATGGTTGGGTTAGCAGATTTGTCTGCTGTGATATCAAGTTAGTTACTTGTCCACTTGATGGTTGGGTTAGCAGATTTGTCTGCTGTGATATCAAGTTAGTTACTTGTCCACTTGATGGTTGGGTTGGCAGGTGTGTCTGCTGTGATATCAAGTTAGTTACTGTTTGCTGCTGTGATGTTAAGAAAGTTGCCATTTTTGGCTGGGATATCAAGTTAGTTACTTGTCCACTTGATGATTGGGTTTGCAGATTCTTCTGCTGTGATATCAAGTTAGTTGCTATTTGCTGCTGTGATATCAAGAAATTTGCTATTTTCTGCTCTGATATCAAGTTAGTTACTTGTCCACTTGATGATTGGGTTGGCAGATTCTTCTGCTGTGATATCAAGTTAGTTGCTATTTGCTGCTGTGATATCAAGAAAGTTGCTATTTTCTGCTGTGATATCAAGTTAGTTACTTGTCCACTTGATGATTGGGTTGGCAGATTCTTCTGCTGTGATATCAAGTTACTTACTTGTCCAATTGATGGTCGGGTTGGCAGATTTTTCTGCTGTGATATCAAGTTAGTTACTTGTCCACTTGATGGTTGGGTTGGCAGGTGTTTCTGCTGTGATATCAAGTTAGTTACTTGTCCACTTGATGATTGGGTTGGCAGTTCCTTCTGTTGTGATATCAAGTTAGTTGCTATTTGCTGCTGTGATATCAAGAAAGTTGCCATTTTTGGCTGTGATATCAAGTTAGTTACTTGTCCATTTGATGGTTGGGTTGGCAGGTGTTTCTGCTGTGATATCAAGTTAGTTACTTGTCCACTTGATGGTTGGGTTGGCAGATTTGTCTGCTGTGATATCAAGTTAGTTGCTTGTCCACTTGATGGTCGGGGCAGCAGATTTGTCTGCTGTGATATCAAGTTAGTTGCTTGTCCACTTGATGGTTGGGTTGGCAGATTTGTCTGCTGTGATGGAGACTCATTTAATTGACTGCATAAAACTGGTTTTTGAATTTTAATGTTGCCTTCTTTTAATGTTCCTCTTGTACTTGCCTCTAGTGCACTATTTCTTGTTTGATTCCTAAATTTCCTAAGTGAAATACTTATTTCTTCATTTGATGTAGATGGTTTAGGTACGTTATTCTCATATAATGGTATATTATTTGCTTTGCTATTTAAAGGAGCTGTCACAATTGTTTTCAGTTTTCTAAATGTTCTTAGAGAGTTGTGCCCGGATGATAAAAATACATTCTTATACTGTTGTATTTTTTCTTGCTCCATTGACGAGTTATTTATTTGAGAAGTAAATGTTGATTCTGGATTATTCAAGCGTTGCGATATGTTTGGTTGTCCAACTACTCCATGCAAATCTTTTGACAAATTAGTATCCTTCTCATTTAATGTTATTTTCTGCTCCTTTGGTATATTATGTATTTGTCTACTAAATGTATTTTTTTCTGATGGCGTGTTCATAGTTAATTTTCTAAATGTTCGAAGTGATTCATCATTTGCTGTGCTTTCCTGGAAAACAGCCACATTATTTTTTATTATTCCAATTATTTTTTTGGAGGCCTTCTTATACTGACAATAAGGCAAAATATTTTGTCTTGTAGCTGTAGACTTACAGTACTTATCTGTCATTTTGGCCTTATTATCTAGTGGTAAGCATTGCATTTCTGGCAACTTTCTTTGACCAGCTTCCTTAGATACTGGACTTTCTTGAGCACGAGATGTTATCACACACTGTGGTGGTGTGGCGCTGGTTGATGTATTACTGGACTGAAGGCTAACAGGTTGCTGAACACTTGCTTCATGTGTCAGAGGTAAATCCCGACGGTACATATTCTCTGAAGTCTGTAAATTGGTTAATGAATTTACATTCCTTGTATTAATACAAGTCTTTGTATTTTCTGTTGGTACTGGATGCCATAATCTAAGAGGATGCTCGGTGAATGAGAAAAGTTTTTCCACCTCCTCTCCACTTTGAATTTCTGATATTACAGGAAGACTTCCATTAGAAGCTTCAAAATCATCTCCAAGTGGATCAGAGTCTAAACAATTGATTTCACTTTTTACACAATTATCTGTATACTCTGACATCAAATCTGAACAATACTCTTTCTCATTTGACAATAGTCCAGGAACACCTGGATCATTACTCTCAAATGGAATATCACTTATTGGTTCAAATTTTATATCAAGAGATTCCGACATTTCTTTTTCATATACACTTTCACCATCAGGAGTCTCAGGATCTATCTCTATTTCTTTCTTAATATCAATTTTTTTTAAGTTTTCTTCTGACATGACTAAACTTTCATGAAATTCCATGTCACACTTATTTGACAATCTTCTGTCAGAATTGCATACCTGGGCCTGAATGGAATTTGATGTTTTACCCAACATTTTTCCATTTTGAGATGAAATAATTATTTTGCCATTCTCTTTGCTCAAATATATTTTACCATTATTATTACTTTTAAAACAAGAATCATAACTCACAGAATTCACTTTATGTTTTGCCTTTTGTATTTCACACTTAAGGTCTCTGTTAGCCAATTTGTTGTCAATACTGATGTTATTCTTATTTGGGCCAGGAATATCAGCTAAATCTGTGATATAATCTTCATCAGTTTTGAGTTCCTTAAATATTTCTAATATTTCATTTTGTATCTCATTGTTAACCTGAGAATTTCTGTTCTCTAAAAGAGTATCCCTTCTCATTGTATAATCTCTTTGTTTCAACAAATCTTGATTTTGATATTCATGAGTGGGCTTTAAGGAATGTTCAGAGTTATTTCCCTGTTTGGCAACATTAGGTTTAGATGAGGTAAATGGGATCCAATCTTCATATCCAGTCGTTTCTCCAATTTCATTAGTAACCTCAAATCCATCTGAAATAAAATAAAATAAAAATGTTATACTGTATACCTAGAAAAACGCTTCAGAAAGAATTGATTACCTTGTGTTTATGTGTGTGGGGGTAGGGTGATTACCTTGTGTGTATGTGTGTGGGGGTAGGGTGATTACCTTGTGTGTATGTGTGTGGGGGTAGGGTGATTACCTTGTGTGTATGTGTGTGGGGGTAGGGTGTTTACCTTGTGTATGTGTGTGGGGGTAGGGTGTTTACCTTGTGTATGTGTGTGGGGGTAGGGTGATTACCTTGTGTGTATGTGTGTGGGGGTAGGGTGATTACTTTGTGTGTATGTGTGTGGGGGTAGGGTGATTACCTTGTGTGTGTGTGTGTGGGGGTAGGGTGATTACCTTGTGTGTATGTGTGTGGGGGTAGGGTGATTACTTTGTGTGTATGTGTGTGGGGGTAGGGTGATTACCTTGTGTGTATGTGTGTGGGGGTAGGGTGTTTACCTTGTGTATGTGTGTGGGGGTAGGGTGTTTACCTTGTGTATGTGTGTGGGGGTAGGGTGATTACCTTGTGTGTATGTGTGTGGGGGTAGGGTGATTACCTTGTGTGTATGTGTGTGGGGGTAGGGTGATTACCTTGTGTGTATGTGTGTGGGGGTAGGGTGATTACCTTGTGTGTATGTGTGTGGGGGTAGGGTGATTACCTGGTGTGTATGTGTGTGGGGGTAGGGTGATTACCTTGTGTGTATGTGTGTGGGGGGGTAGGGTGATTACCTTGTGTGTATGTGTGTGGGGGTAGGGTGATTACCTTGTGTGTATGTGTGTGGGGGGTAGGGTGTGAGGCGGAGGTGCTGGTAGCAGTAGCATAAGTATTTTAGGTCCAATGAAGGTGCACTGAGGAAGTATATTACACAACTACTGAACAGGAAAAGTTGTAATACCAAACTGAGTATATCCAGCTGAATTTTGTTTCATGGCCCATAATGGGAATGTATGGAGTAAAACCATCTGCCTGAGATTGCCAGAACCCCCCCCCCCCCACCCACCTTCCTGAACCAACTGTTCCACAGTGGAAGAGAGAGCAGGTGACAATCTGCCACCTCACCAGAGGAACCCTCCAGAAAGTCAGAACAGCTTTACAGACAACTTGAGGGTCCAGAGAAAATGAAGCCTCGAAAAACTGCCAAACAACTAAGTACTGCAAACGAGTCACTCTCACGAGTGGGCAGGTAGGGATATGTGGGTTCAGGCAGGCAGATTTTGGATGGGTGGATGGCAGGCAGATGGGCTTGGTGGATTCAGGCAGGCGGGTTTTGGCAGATAGGTGGGTTCAAGAAAGCAGGGTTTGGATGGCAGGTGAGTGGGCAGGCTGGTGGTTGGGTGGGCAGGCAGGCGGGTGGGTGGGTGGACAGGCAGGGATAGGTGGGTTCAGGGAGGCAGGTTTTGGCAGGGATAGGTGGGTTCAGGAAAGCAGGGTTTGGATGGGTGGATGGCTTGTAGGGGTGAGTTGGGAAGGGCTTGTGTGAGGTGGGGTTTGTGAACAGGAAGGAGATGTGTGATCTCTGTTTTTTTCCAGTGTTGTCTCGCCCACCCATCTACCTGAACCCCACCTATCCCTTCATGCCCGCCTACCCACCCACTTGAACCCACCAATCCCTGCCTGCTCACTCACCTGCCATCTACCAAGCCCATCCGCCTGCCATCCACCCATCCAAACCCTGCTTTCCTGAACCCACCTATCCCTGCCAAAACCTGCCTCCCTGAACCCACCTATCCCTGCCTGTCCACCCACCCACCCGCCTGCCTGTCCACCCACCCACCCGCCTGCCTGCCCACCCACCCACCAGCCTGCCCACTCACCTACCATCCAAACCCTGCTTTCTTGAACCCACCTATCCTTGCCTGAACCCACCTATCTGCCAAAACCTGCCTACCTGAACCCACCAAGCCCATCTGCCTGCCATCCACCCATCCAAAATCTGCCTGCCTGAACCCACATATCCCTACCTGCCCACCCACCCACCTGCCATACTTGCCTGCCCACCCACCCAGCTCCACACACTACTTATTGTGTGGAAATTCAAATTATGTTGTTTGTGGTGCAAACATTTTTGGAAGTGTTCACTTTTGGATTTCCGTGGTGAAAAGTCAGTTAATCCGGCAAGGGGGCCTCCCACATAGTCCGGATTAGCGAACTTCTACAGTATAGAATTTGCGCAGCACAGGGAGTTAACCATTATAAACCATTATAGCATTCGTAATGGTTAACATGTCTTAAAAAAAAAGTTATTCTGACTGATTTAGATCTCCTATATTATCTTCAGCTACAGGGTCTAAAAGTCCTGTTCTGAAGACCAAAGTCTTGAAAGTACTTTTTATCAGGTGAGTGCTACTGCCTACTGCAGCCACAGGGTTGAGAACAAATTACTTATGTTCAAATTAAGTGCCATATAAATTTACCTGAAAAAAACAAACCAAAATGACCACCAAGGCAAAAAACAAAAAAGGCTATGAGGTACATTACCATTTTCTTTCAAGGTGTGTTTTTCATGAAGGATGCCCCAACAATCCTCAGACCCCAGGCTTGGCTTGGCAGCTGGAGTAGTTGGTTTGGCAGCTGGAGCAGTTGGCTTGGCAGGTGGAGCAGTCGGCTTGGCAGGTGAAGCAGTCGGCTTGGCAGGTGGAGCAGTCGGCTTGGCAGCCGGAGCAGTCGGCTTGGCAGCCGGAGCAGTCGGCTTGGCAGGTGGAGCAGTCGGCTTGGCAGGTGGAGCAGTCGGCTTGGCAGCCGGAGCAGTCGGCTTGGCAGCCGGAGCAGTCGGCTTGGCAGCCGGAGCAGTCGGCTTGGCAGCCGGAGTAGTCGGCTTGGCAGCCGGAGCAGTCGGCTTGGCAGCCGGAGCAGTCGGCTTGGCAGCCGGAGCAGTCGGCTTGGCAGCCGGAGCAGTCGGCTTGGCAGCCGGAGCAGTCGGCTTGGCAGCCGGAGCAGTCGGCTTGGCAGCCGGAGCAGTCGGCTTGGCAGCCGGAGCAGTCGGCTTGGCAGCCGGAGCAGTCGGCTTGGCAGCCGGAGCAGTCAGCTTGGCAGCCGGAGCAGTCGGCTTGGCAGCTGGAGCAGTCGGCTTGGCAGCTGGAGCAGTCGGCTTGGCAGCTGAAGCAGTCGGCTTGGCATCTGAAGCAGTCGGCTTGGCATCTGAAGCAGTCAGCTTGGCAGCTGAAGCAGTCAGCTTGGCATCTGAAGCAGTCGGCTTGGCAGCTGAAGTGGAATAAACACTTTTCTTTTTTCCCGGGGTTTTTGCCTTAGCAGTTGTAGTAGAATTTAAACGTTTCTTCAAAATACCCTCTATCGCATCTTCCTCATTTAACTGTATCTGTTGACAATTTCAAAGCTGACTAAAAACTGTGAGAAACATTTCTGTACAATATACAGTACATAAATATTTAACTATATTTTTTATTTTAAACTAATAAAAATAAGGTTTTGATAACATGTTTAAATTTTCTTTCAAGGCAGAACACACTGTTTCTCCAAAGAGTTAGATCGTTCTGAGTTTAATGGACACGCTCATCAACAAGTCGTGCCGGTCAACATTCTTTTCTGGCAATACAGAAAACCTTTTAGTTCGATGTAACACTAGACATATCTAGAGCAGACAGCCAATCCTGGCCTAATTTGCCCTACCTGCTCTCCTCCCTCATCAGAGCTCTATGATTCCGCCCTCCTTCGAGTTCACTACCCCCAGCCTCGCTCAGGCCTTCTGCTCTCGGCTCCAGGCCTCGCACAAGCTCTCCACTTCAAGCCAGCCTCAGCACTACATCCTACCTAACTCTACCAGTGTCATATACCAAGCATCTTTGTCTCAACCTATCATGACACATAATCAGACTACAGTAACCAAACTGTAATAAACATCAAAACAACCATACTCTTTGAATGCTGTCACCTAAAATTGTGTATGTTAAAAAGGGTTAAATTTGGAAAGGTAATAATTATGTTTTATAAAGTACATAAACAAAACTTACCTTTCTTTTTCTAAATTTGGCATTCCGAATGACTTCATAAGGTTCACCAAATTCAAAAAGAAACTTGTTAAAAGTGAAATTTTCAACAGTCAGATTTTCCACATTTTCATTTTTCACTGCAAAAAAGAAGTCATAATTTATAGTTCAGTAAATATAGTACTTATACAAGACTATAGTTAACCCTAAAAAGTAAATATTTTAAACAAAATAATTTAAACAATTAAGGGGCCGGGTGCACAATTTCTCAACCTTTCTTAACCACTCAATTTTTTTGGCATAATCTACATGGTAAATGCTCCAATGTTTCCTGATGATCAATATCATAACATGAACAGGAAATAAAACCAGCGTTGAATGTAATGAAACGCCCATTTTCTGGGTGAGTCCCGGAGGCTCCCCGGAGCTATCCAGGCTGAATGGATATGTATAACTTTCTAGCATCAGTCAGTGCTAGGAGTTCTTGCCTACCAGGGACCACGAGCAAGAACCTGGCCCCCTCAGAGATGCACGAGGAGCAATGGCCTATAGAAACCCCCTTGTGATTGGGAGCATTCTATGTCTGCCATCGACCGGGACAGGCACCCAGAAAGGTAGGTCCCCCAAAACAAACCCCCTATTCTGGTGAAATTATTGCTACTGAAAGCCGAACGAGTGGACAGAACTCCCCAAACAAAATTATCAAACTAGCATGATGTCATCACGTCGCCGCGCCACCGTCTGCGCAACCCCCCCTCCCCGAAGAGGAGGAAGGGGGGGGGGAGCCCCAGACCCTCCCCGAGAGGAGGAAGGGGGAGCCCCAGACCCTCCACGCCAGCGATCCAACTGGGAGTGCTTAGGCCGGATGTCAAAATACGCGAAAAATGCCGCCGACCGGAGGGAGGGAGGGATGCCGGGGAGCCTCCGGGACTCACCCAGAAAATGGCGTTTCATTACATTCAACACTGGTTTTCTGGGGGGAGCCCCGTCGGCTCCCCGGAGCTACCTCACCACAGATAAGTAAAACAGGTAAGGAACCGGGAGGCGGATACCACATGTCCTAACTGAACAACCAAAACCAGACAAAACAAAGACCAAAACGAGAAGAAAATGACCACCCAGGCCAACGATCAGGACGGCACCAAAACTCAAGAGCAGGCCAGAGGGGAACAACGCCCAGGACAGCAAGTGGAATGGAACAGAAGGAACCGCAACACTGAACGCAAGCAGGAGCGGCTCTGCCAGCACCACCCAACATGAGGTGACAGGACAATCCCAGACGACGGTCCCAGAACAACCTCGAAGGGAAGACAAGCCAACCCTTATCAAAGACCGAAGGACCCTTCGCAGTGATAGGAAAACCACACACTGCCCCCAAGACGAAACACGCAGGTGGGAGACCAATAACGAACCCACCTGTGCCAACACAAATGACGAGAAACGAACACCACGATCGAAAGCGCAAAACACGAATCTAAAAACAGCGACCCCGCAACCCAAAGGAGCAACATAACCAGCTCCAGCAGGGAAGAATGAGACACGCATCCCCGAGGCATCCAAGAGGATAACTACCGAGGACGAGAAACCGCAGTAAAGCAAACACACCCGGTCCGGAAAAGGAACAAAGAAAAACCGAAACCAGGACCGGAACCCAGCAAACCCGGTTCCAAGAAAAGGAACCAGGAAGGTAGGAGCGGCAGACTGAAAAGTCCACACTCCCCACAGACAGCGCAACCCGAAGCCTGCAGAAAACCACACAGAAATCGCAGGAACTCGGTACCAAAACAGAACACCGGAGAAGTCCAAAAGCAGGACGCGGAACATGGACAGAGGCCCACCGGAGCACCAAACAGGATAATCAAGAAGCACTGACCCAGATACACAAAAAAGTGTAGCATGGGGGAGGAAAAACGGAAATAGGTAAGGAAAACCACGAATACGGCCCAAGGAGCGGCCGGGAAGTAATGCACACGACCAGCCACAAAATGTGTAGAGGAGCGCGTACATACCTGTGGGACCTTATGGACAGCAGAGTGCAGTCAGGCACCGAAGATAGGCAAGGAAAGTGTCCAGACGTTTTCGTTGTTGACCCAGGGGTCGACAACGAAAACAAAAGCACCGAAATGAAGGGCAGAGCCCCACAGGACAACAAAGAACAAAAGATGGATGAAAAAGGCACTAAAGACACATGCAAGGTGACCAAACACCACACCAAACACCCCAGTCAGGAGCCATCGACGCAAACCCGCCAAGCGGGGAAGAGTAAACAAGGATGGAACAGTGAACAAGGGTGGCGGAGTGAGTAGAGTATCCCAAGAAGACACTCGCTCCAAACGCATGAGCCTAACTAGAGAAGCAAAGTTCTACGAAGTACCAACAATGGAACTCAAACCGTTCCGTACTTCCAAGGAAAATTCCTGCCAACCTTTGGAGAACTGTGAGGCGTCGCCCAAGCACATAACCAGCAGAGTAGCGAATAATAACTAGTCTACCTGCAAGCGTGGTCTATAATAGACATGCGAGACACCGTACCGACACTCAGTGCGCCCAACCCGCACCATTGCCCGCCAAAATATCACCCGCAACAACTGTATATGCAACAAAAGATAAGTAGTTCCTTAGTGTTTGTGTTTAGTGACCAATCACCACGAAACAATAGAAACTGGGATAGTGGCACACGCCACCCTTGCGGCACATTGTGGGCACGAAACAATGGGCATAAAAGGGATAAGCGCAGAATGAGGAAAGACCGGAGGAACGACCGGCGCGGTAACAGGCCCGCTGATTCACGGAACCAATTACCACATAACGTGGTGGTGGGGCCCCACGATTGGTGCAAGGGCAAGTTGGACATGTATGTGAGTGGGAATGGGTGGCAAGAAACAGTAGCTGCCTCGCACGGGCCAATAGGCCCTCAGCAGGTCTACTGTACTTATGTCCGTATGTTTGTACGCACAAGGGGACACAGGAGGAAGTGAGCACCCAAAGGAGCCACAGACACTAAAAAGAACCTGATTAATGTCAGAGGGGAAAGGAAACGAAAAGCACCAAAAAGCCATGTGGTGGAGGCAGACGCCACCCACAGAAGCAAACGTAAAGAAGACAGGGCCCAGGAGGCTCAGGAAATTGCACAACCGTCAACTGACAGGAGAGGTGGTCCCTGCCTCTCGTGGTCCCTGGTAGGCAAGAACTCCAAGCACTTTGATACCAAAAAGTTATACATATCTATTCAGCCTGGATAGCACCGGGGAGCCGAAGGGGCTCCCCCCAGAAAATATTATAAAAAAATTGATAATTTCACAATTTCACATTCATAAAATTAATTTGATATTTCATCAATTATTTTTTTTTAAATTCATTAGGGACTCAGAATGGCATATAATGCTCATTTTCCTAAGGACAAAATTTAGTTTGGGAGTATAGTTTACTGTAAAAGAAAAAAATAGTCAATGTAGCCTTTAACATATGCACAAAATTTAGAGGAAAAAAAAAACAGCGTTGAATGTAATGAAACGCCATTTTCTGGGTGAGTCCCAGAGGCTCCCCGGAGCTCTCCAGGCTGAATGGATATGTATAACTTTCTGGTATCAAAGTGCTTGGAGTTCTTGCCTACCAGGGACCACGAGCCAGAACCTGGCCCCCTCAGAGAGGCACGAGGAGCAATGGCCTATAGAAAACCACCCTGTGGTTAGGAGCATTCTATGTCTGCCATCGACCAGAATAGGGACCCAGAAAGGTAGGCGCCCCAAAACAAACCCCTATTCTGGTGAAAATATTGCTACGACAAGCCGAGCGAGTGGACAGAACTACCCAAACAGAATTATCAAATTAGCATGACGTCATCACGTTGCCGCGCTGCCATCTGCGCAACCCCCCCCCCCTACCTGGGAGGGTGAAGGGGAGCCCCAGACCCTCCGCACCTGCGATCCAACTGTTAGTTCTTGGCTGATGGATTTACTGGCAGGTCGAGTGCCTCTGGCTCCGGTTTTTGTTTCAGTTCTATGCCTTGTGGTGTGGACTGTCTCTACCGGTGGGGTGTGAGCCAGGAGTGAGATTCCACATTACTTGGACTGCATGTGCATGTGTTGGTTGTCTTCTGGCCTCTAGTGGCGTTGGGCAGCTTCTCCCCCCTTTGGGAGGCTCGGGGCTGGCAGTTGGGCTTCTTCCCCTGCACTTCGTCATGTCTTCTTGGTGTGGGTACGTTTGGACTTGGTCAATCCGCCCCATCCTTCCGGGGTTCCCGCTTGTTCTAATGCAGACACGGGACTTTGCGGATCTGCGGTTCTTCTGGACTCAGTCTGCGCCCTGGATTCTTTGCCCTATTCAGAAGTCTGTTGTCTCCTGTCCGGCTTCTGTTGGGGCCGGGTGCCTGGATGGTGCCCCTGGACCTCCAGGTCAATTCTTGACATGTTCCTCTCCAGTTTTCCGGGACTGGCACAGCTGGTGGTGGGGCTTCAGGCTTGCCGTTTTTGTTGCCTTCCCTATTTTGTAATTGGCACTTTGTGTATTTTTGCATCTTTACTGGATCTTGGTGCCCTGTCTGAGTCTGCTTGGGATTCGGTGTCTGGCCTACCTCGACGAATGGCTGGTGTGGGCTCCCAGTCGGTCTGCTTGTCTGCTCGCCAGGGGTGTGGTTCTTTCCAGATCACTGGGTTTGGTTTCCTGGTGATCTGGAGGACATTCCATCTCTTTCTGTCCCGGGTTCAGACCTGGCTGGGCCTTGTTTAGGGCTCTTGGGCCGCTCCTTGTCTTTCCCTCCAGAAGTGTTGCTGCGGCTGTGGTCCCGCCTTCGGCTGTTCATGAGGGGGTCCAAGGTTGCTCAGCGGTTGCTCGAGCAGTTGTGTGGGAGTCTGAACTTCGATGTGCTGGTCTGCCCGTGCGGGGTCGGGCAGACCAACACAGGTTTGGCTTCAGCGTCTGTTTGGTACCTCTGGAGACTCCCCTTCCGCCTCTCTTGCAATCGTTGGGTTCGTTCCTCTGGGGATCTTGTGTTGGTGCTGCGTCACCAGCTTCCTCTTTGGGGTTTTTGGGGTTCCGTGCCTTGGCACCTCCCCGAGCCTTCGCTCGATGTGTTCACGGACGGGTCATCTCTCGGTTTGGGCTTTGTGACCAGTGCTCACAAGGTCGGCCGGGGATGGTGGGGTCTGTCCGTCCGTCGGGCTTACAGTACGGTCCGGGAGTTCGAGGCTATTTGGTTCGCGCTTCAGAGGGTTTGGGTCACTCGGTGCTCTACCTTTCAGCTTCATTCGGACTGTTCTCTGGCGGTTCTTTGCCGGAACCACAGGGTTTCTCTTAGGTGTTGACCTTTGGGGTTGGTTCCTTAGAGTGGCTCGTTTGCTGGATTCTCGGGGTTTGGTTAACCGTGAGGTTCATGTCCAGGGTGTGTCCTGCGTTCTGGAGGACAGATGTCTTGGTTCATTCCCCTGTTCGCGGATTGGCCAGTCGTCGCCGACTCGTTTCGTTGGCTCTGTCTGACGTATGGACTCCTGGCCATGGACGTTTTCGAGTCGGCGTGGTCTAGGCGTCCCCTATTTTATGTGGCGCCCTTACCCGCCTGCGAGGCGTTCACGGTGGATGCCTTTCGGCAGAACTGGTCGAGGTGGGGGTACCTGTTCCTCTTCTCCCAGTCCAGCTGTTGCTCTGGATTCTGGCTCGGTTGGAGCCCATTCCCACGAGAGTAGTCCTTATGGTTCCTTGGTAGCCGGCACAGCTTTATTTTCAGACGCTGCATGATAGGTGTCCAAACCCGGGGCGTTTTCCCGCGGCTCCGCCTCTTTCGGCAGGTCGGATCGGTCCTGTATGTGACTGGTTCGCCCTTCTCCTCGGCACTTCGAGTCTGGTTTTTTGACACGAGTATCACCATCTCTGTGGTGATCAGGTGGCTTTGTTGACGGTGTCCCACCTGCGAGCTTCGTCTCGGTGACAGTATGACGTTCCTGGTGTTTCTATGTACTTTTTCTTGCTCTTCATAGGTTGTCTTCTCCTTCGCATTGGGTTATCTTGTCCTTTCTTGGGTTTTCAGGACTACAGTTATTTGATGTTTCTTACTGTCGCCTCGTTTTGTGCAGCGCTGGCGGAGCCGTTCCGGCTTGTGTTCGGGGTGGACGTCACATCTGCCCCGTTTCGTACGCTTTCTCGTGTTTTGTTTTACCTCCGGCCTGCTCATGTGTCGCCTGAGCCGTCCTGGTCCTTGATCAGGGTGCCTTCTTATCTTCTCCTAAGTTTGTGGTAGCCCCTTCGGTTCAGGTTTCTGCTCTTTGGTACTGGTGGTAGGTTTGTACGTTTGCAGCCTTTCTCCGTCCTGGCGACGGTCGAGACGGCTGCTTTCCGGAGGGGTTCTTGGGTTATTGATGCTTGATTGGCTTGGCCGGGGGTGCGTCCTGTGTTATTCGGTTGCGCTTTTTTGCCATTTCCTGCATACTGTGTCTGGGGATGCGCTTTGGATTGATCTGGTTCCTCTCGTTCCCTTTTTCATGGCTCGGGTCTCCCAGGTCATCCGCAGAGTTTTCCAGTTTTCCAGCCTTGCGCCCGTGCTGTTCGGACTTTTGCAGCTTTTGCTGCTGTGTTGGTGACGTCTAGGGCTCATTTCAGGCACAGGGATTGAGGGTCGCACAGGTTCTTGGCCGCCCATTCTTTATGCGCATCTGCTCTTGTGCGTTCTTGTTGCCTTGGGTCGCAGGTTGCAGCCTGTTGTCTCGGCTTCGCGTTGCAGAGTTTGTGGCAGCCGTCTCCTGGGTTAGCCGTTTCTTTTCCTTTCCTTTGGGTATGAAGCTCCAGGGAGCCATAGGGGCTCCCCACAGAAAACCAGTGTTAAATGTAATGAAACACCATTTTCTAGGTGAGTCCTGGAGGCTCCCTGGCAACCCTCCCTCCCTCCCACCGGTCGGCAGTTTTTTCGCGTTGGTTGAAGCTTAGCTTCCGAACTGATGCTAGGCAGCAGGTGCGGTAGGTCCGGGGCTTCCCCCTCCCCCTCTCGGGGTGGGGAGTGCTGCGCGGACGGTCGGCGCGGCAGTAAAGTGTGATGTTTGCTTGTTTCCTTGGGATTGTAGGGAGTTTCTACCTCTCTGTTCATTTTTTTGTTTTAGTTTTTTACCATGTGGGGTTTGTTTTGTTATGATAAACCTACCTTTCTGGGTGCCCGGTCAATGGCAGATAAGGGAAACCCCAACCACAAGGGGGTTTTCCAGGGCCACTGCTCCCTGAAACCTCTCTGAAGGGGCCAGGTTCTGGCGCTGGTCCCTGGTAGGTCTGAACTCCTTAGCTAATGTCCCGATCTAATATAACATACATTAGCCCGATAAACTCCAGAGAGCCTCCGGGGCTCACCCAGAAAATGGCATTTCATTACATTCAACACTGGTTTTTTGCCAGACTTCCCTACCCTATTGCGGCTAAAATACGCCACCTACGATTTTTTTGTTATTTTTTCAGTGATCAGGGAACAAAAATGAACACTTCTATAAAACGAAAGAATTTTTGGGATTTTTTTTTTTGTTGCGCCTGTGGGTGTTAAATCCATTTGGGCCCCTAGCGGTTTGAGGGTTAGTGTTTGTACGGCTGCCCTGGCTTTTCCTTGTAAAGCTGGGGCTTTGAGGGAGCGTCTTCGCCCCTGGGTTTTGCTGTATAGGTTCCTGGGGTTGGGGCGGGGTTGCCCGAGGGGTCTTGGCCCCGTTTTGCCACTCTTGGGTCTTTGTACCCTCGGTGAGGGGCTGGCAGTTCCTCAGAGTGGGGTTGTTCCTTCCCCCTCAGTGTTCCTGTTGGTTTCAGGTATACCCCTCCCTGGGTTCGGGTCCATCGGACCTGTCATTCTTGGGGGTGTGTTTCGCCCCCTTTTCCTCACCTTCACAAGACCGCTTCCAATTACATGGGGATGTCTGTAGGCCATTGCTCCTCGTGCGTCTCTTGAGGGAGCCATGTTCTGGCTCTGGTCCCCCAGTAGGCCTAGAACTCCTTTGACTGACTGTTGCCACGGTCTAATATATACACATCAGCCCGGTATAGCTTCGGGGAGCCTCTGGGTCTCGCCCAGAAAATGGCGTTTCATTACATTCAACGCTGTTTTTTTGCAAACAGAATGGTAGACGGTTGGAACACCCCAAGTAAGAAGGTGGTGGAGGCCAAAGCCATCAGTTGTTCTAAAGTGATGTATGACAAAGAGTAGTGGGAAGATGGGACATCATGAGCGTAGCTCTCATCCTGTAATTACATTTAACCTGTTTCATGTAAATAAACAGAGGAAAATAAATGAATAACATCAAATTACAACAAAATTATTTAAGTAGATTGCATAAAGCTTCTTGAACCTTTACAACTTGCAATTACATATGGGACACTAGGCAATTAAAGTATTGTATTAATTAATAACTGATGTTATTTGTTAAATACCAAGAGTTACTCTACTTAACTGTTGTATAAAAACACTACAGAGTTTTGACTTCTAATACTCACAGTACTTTGCTATATCCACACGAGATCGAAGTTTTCTGCCCGTAGGTGTATGATAATAAACATCACGATTTGCAGATTCAGAAACTGCACGGAATACAATTTCACGAACCCAACCTGGAAAAAAGCAAGAAAATATTCAATATACAGAAATGATAAATATGATAGATACTGAATAAATCTCTGTGAAATAGGAATCATCCACTGGCTCATTCCATAGCACACCTTTCAAGACAATTTTATGATTTTATGATATTAAAATACCTGGAATAGCTGTCTGTCTTGAGATGAAACCTGCAAGAAAGATAATAAGCTGCAATGGGATGCAGAGGAAGGTGACCAGCTGCAGGAAGAATGAAGCAAGAAAGAAATACTATTCAAGTGAGCCGTTAATAAATTATAGTAATGTTTCACGAAAGTGACCCCATGCTTTTTTATTCAACAAGCTTTCTGGCCTCTCAACACACAACACTCTCAACACTAGAGCCATGGCTGCACCATAGAATGAGGGTCTAAATGTTATACAGTATAATATTTAGCCTCTCAACACACCACCTATGGTGTAGCTAAAACCATGGCTACACCATACAATGTTATACAGTATAACCAATTCAAGGAAAATTTGTCTGGTCATTTGTAATGTTGGACCCACTAATAATTGCCATACAGTTATGACTTTAATAACCGGCTCCCTTAATAAGGGAGCCAGTGGCTGAGCGAACAGAACACTGGACGTGTGATCCTGTGGTCCCGGGTTCGATCCCTAGCGCCTGCGAGAAACAATGGGCAGAGTTTCTTTCACCCTATTACCCCTGTTACCTAGCAGTAAAGAGGTACCTGGGAGTTAGTCAGCTGTCACAGGCTGCTTCCTGGGGGTGGAGGCCTGGTCGAGGACCGGGCCGCGTGGACACTAAAGCCCCGAAATCATTTCAGGATAACCTCAAGATAACCTCAATATGGAATTCTTTGTCAATGGCTGCTCTATTATATGCCACAACCAAACTGAAGAATGCATAATAAATATTTGTGATTTTTGTAATATAATGTGAAGAAAGAGTGGTTATGATGGATTTGTACTTACCTAAATGTGCATATGGGTTATTATGAAGATGAGAAAGTCAGCAGGAACTATGAGGAGGATTCGAACCTTCACACTGGGTTCTCCAAAGCACACGCCTTAGACCACTTCACCACAATATGGTATAAAGATATTTCACTATTCTCCTGGTAAAGTCACAAACGTTTATATGCATTATAGTGAATGTAGGCCCATTGATGGTTTCTTAGGAAAAAGGGGTTGCCTGGGTCTGTTTGCTGTTGTTGCCAACAACAGCAAAACAGGGTAAAAACCAGCGTTGAATGTAATGAAACGCCATTTTCTGGGTGAGACCTGGAGCTATTACCAGGCTGATATGCTAATGTCAGACTTTGGCATCTGTCATGTGTATGGAGTTCTAGGGCCTATCGGGTACCACGGCCAGAATTTGGCCCCCTCAGAGAGGCAAGGGGAGCAAATGGCCTATAGAAACCCCCGTGTGGTTGGAAGCATTCTATGTCTGCCATCGACAGGGTCAAGCATCCAGAAAGGTAATCATTCCAAAACAAACCCCTATTCTGGTGAAAATTGCTACCTAAAGCCGAACTAGTGGATAGAACTCCTCAACAGAAAACAAGCAAACTAGTATGACGTCACACGTCACCACACCGCTGTCTGTGCAGCTCCCCCTTCCCGGGAGGGGGAAAGAGGAGCCCCAGACCTCCCACGCCGGCTATCCACCCATCAGTTCTGAGGCTGGATCTCAAAACACACGAAAAACCGCCGACCGGAGGGAGGGAGGGTTGCCGGGGAGCCTCCGGGTCTCACCCAGAAAATGGCATTTCATTACATTCAACGCTGGTTTTCTGGGGGGAGCCCCATCGGCTCCCCTGAGCTAACTACCCACAGAGGAAGGTCAAAGGGACGGAACCGGGAGGCGGACACCACGCACCCCCCACGGAAGCGAGACAACCAGCAGCAAATGCCAACCCAAGGCGCCACAGCCCCGAAAAGTCCAGGGAACAACACGAAAACAACGAGCAGCAAGGCCCCCGTATGAACACCAAAGACCCATGTCCGAAGGACTGTAAGGAAACGTCGCCCAGACGGCAGCGAGAGCAGCGAAGCCACGAACGCCACGGGCATGAGGGAAGAACACAGGCAGCTTAGCCGCAAGAACACGGCTGACAACTTGGGACACCAACACCCGCGAACCAGGAAGAACAGAACCGGATCAACACAAAACGCGCTCCGGACACAGACGCCGTGGCACGCAAACAACAGCGGAGGGCCGCCACTGAACACAAAACACGACATCCCCCCAGCCCGACCAACGAAGTACCAACAAACCCTGGACCCTTCCAGAACGCAGCAGCCTTACCCCGCGCCAGAAAAGATGGAGACTGCTGCCACCGAACAACCAAAATGCTAAAACTGAAGGAGCAAGAAAACTCAGCGACCCGACCCCCAGAGGCAAATGCCAAAAGGAAAAAGCGCCGACGGAAAAAACAAACCGGAACCGAAGGGGCACTACCAACCGAGGAGAAGACAGAGCACGCTGACCAGAGACTAGGATGGTGCAAGCGGCGCACGAACAAGCCGGAGGTGAAACGACGCACGCGACAGCTTAATAACGGTGCAGAAGCAACACCAAGACCGAAAGCAAGCCGAAGCGGCTCTGCCAGTGCCGCACGAAAAGAGGCGACAGTAGGTGGCAAGACGACGGCCCCCAACCCCCACCAGAAAACCAAGCCGACGCTAACAAGAGTAACCACCTAAGAAGGGACAGGAAAAGGAAGGACCGCCAAAATACCCCATACTGCCGCCAAGAGAAGTACGCAGGTGGGACACCTACCACGAAGCCACCCGACCACCAAACGGAGGCGAGACTGCGAGGCAGAACGTAAGCAGCCCCGACAAAGCCCCTCCGAGCCCAGGAAAAGGCGGAGGCGCGGGGAGATCTCGGGCGCGACCACCGAAACCCAGGCGGCACAAGGAGATGGAACGTCTGCCGAACAGAAAAACTCCCAAAGCAAGCAAGCCCGCCAGGAGTTCAGAAACGACGGGTCCAACGCGAGACATCGTAAGACCCCGAAAAACCAACCGGCAGGGCAAGTTAGGAAACCAAGAAGGCGGAAGGGTTGCTGCCAGAAACAGTACCCGAACCAAAAGGTACGAGCAACTGCACCAGACCGAGACAAAGAAGCACACCACAGGACACAGGCTGAAAAACGCCCAAGAAGCCAAGGAACACACGCAGAACACCCCTGCGTCAGAGGAGGAAACAAGGGAACACACAAGAAATGAAGCGGTGGAAACCAACCACGCCCCCGAACATAGCAGCAAGTGCAGGCAAAACCGACCAAAGGAGATGCCAGGAAAACGACTGGGGAGAGGCAGGATGAAAGAGCAGAAGCACAAATACCCCAGGAAAACAACCAGGGGTGGACAAACAGGCAGGGACAGAAAAATCCCACGCACATGAGGGCCAAACCAGGGACCCGAAGACCACAAAAAACGACAAACAAACCCCCATATGCAAACCCTAGGCACAAAACAGCAGCAAAGTGCCATACCACAACCGGACACAGGAACAAGGACACGCCACCGCGAAACATGGTACCAATGCACACGTGCGGTAGCAGCAACAGGCACCACCGCAACATGCAACCTGTAAATAACAACTCGCTTCCGCAAAGGCAGAGAACGGAGCAGGCAGACCCTAGACAGGGCCAACGGAGACACGACAGAACCCAGCAGGCCCAGAAACCCGCACACCAGGCGACCGACGGCGGAGAAAACCCCACTCGATACCTGCTGGATGGGGTACTGGGAGCTCATTTACACCCCAAGCCCGGCCCGAGGCCAGGCTAGACCGGCCAGAGGGTGGCCCACCAGGCAGCTGCTTGGAGCAGCCCGCAGGCCCACATATCCCCCACAACCATGATGGGCCGGAACTTCTATTCGAAAACAGACTAGTGTGCCCTGGTAGTCCACGGACGTACCAGCAATAAGGCGTATGCTCGCAAGTAGGTCGTGTAACAACCGCAGACCTCTGATGGTTATGCAGTGTTCCCCGATTGTGACTATAGCACCACTGCACTCCACTGGTACTATCCCGCAAGTTCTACCAGATAGGCGGGACCCAAGAGCCAGAGCTCAAACCCTGCAAGCACAGCAAGGAGCCTTACCAGGTGAGCATAGAATTAACACCAGAACCACCACACCTCATAACACGAAAAAAGGTGGGTCCCCTGAATGACTCTAGCATGGGTTGGACATGCACATGAGTGGGACAGGAAGGGTTGAAAAAGGGACAGTCACTGGTGTGCGAACGGTCTCTGTCGTACAAAAATATACCTAATTAAACAGGTATATAAACAACACCGCATCCAGCGCCCGGCCAAAAGACGCCAGACCGCAGAAACTCACCTGGCGAACGGTGGCACGAACGTGACACGACTCAACCGTGCCCAGAAGAACCTGGGAGCACCGCCAGATGAAGACGCCAGAGCCGGACCCGGCTGGACCCGCAGGAGAGCAGGGTAGAGGCGAAGGAGGCGGCCCACACCCATGACACAGGGAAAACCGTGGCGTCCTCCCCACAACTGGGAACCAGGACACTCCCGGAGCAAAGGGGCACATACCCCAGCCAGGGTGAAGAGCGAGAGGCGAAGCACTTGAGCAAAAAGGGCGCAAAACACCAGCACTGAAACACACCGCCCAGACCAAAACAAACTCAACGACGCATGCGCATGACACGCTGGCCGAACCGCACAACCCTCTCTGCGGGAAGGCGCCAACCAGGACTACTGCACTAGAAAAGTAGCCAAAAGAGGAAGCAGGGACAATAAAACCGGCCAACGAAGCGAAGACAGAGCCCCAAAAGGTACCCAACCCGGCCACAAGCAGCCCAACAAGGCCACAAGTAGCCCAACCGGCCACAAGTAGCCCAAACCGGGCTACAAGTAGTCCAAACGGCGACACGGACGAGGAGCCGACAGACGTTCCAACAATGCGAGAAATAGCAAAAACCTTCCCGAACCCTCGAGAACACAGAAGCCAACACTAGTCCCGATGG